ATAGGTTGAATATGAACATCTCCTCAGTCCTGTAGGTTTAGAACTTAAGGTTTGAGGTTTTACGGTTTCACCACCCCCCTTCCACCTTAAAAAAAAAAAACCGAAAGTGTTTCTACTGGCAATCGAATCAGATGTGGAATGAAACTGAGGCTCACAAGGAGGCCACCGCTGCAGTTGAGTATCGACAAAAAGCATAAGCCCTGCACCCCCTAAACTAAAGCACTAAACCCTAAAGAATAGTCCTAACCCCTAAAACAAAGCCCTGGTTGTGAGACGTGGTTCTCCGACCTCACAACAGCTTTTGCCCGAGCTCCGGTCTGCATCCAAAGCCCGCAGAGCCAAGGCCCTGAGACAGCCAGAGGGATGTATCATACATATACTTACATATACACCTCAAGATAAATTGGTAGATGGATAGATAGGTATATGTATATTCATATGCGTATGCCTACGTGCATGTGCTTGTATATGTATATGCATGCTGCGGTAGGACGAAAGTTTGAGTTACTCCTGCTTTCGTGAACCACAGGCCCCCATTCCCCCATAGAACCCTATCAAAGGACCAGCCGACTACTCCCCTGCAACATTGGAGTTATATAATTTCAAAGCGGGGCATGAAATACTCCGCTGGCCAGGCAGCATACATGCACTTTTCGATACTCCGCTACTCCGCGACACGTCTTAAGACAAGAAATGTCAAGTGGGTCAAAACTTCTGCCCTCCCGATGTATGTATATGTATATGAATATGTATACGCATGTGCGTATGTGTATATATGCACACATGTATATATATACATATATATATATATATATATATATATATTTATTTATTTATATATATATACACATACATACATACATGTGTGTGTGTATATGTAAATGTACATGTACATGTATATGCATGTGCGTATATGTATGCATATACCTCTATATATATATATATATATATATATATATATATATGTACGTAGGTAGGTGTGTATGTATGTATGTGCATATGTACATATATACGCACACGGTGAAGCTCAAGGCTTTCAATGTGGCTGGGATTGAAATGGCAGCCAGAGCCGAAAGTCCCCGAAATTCCTAAACGCGCGCGGCAGCGCAAGAAAAAAACAACAGTATTTCAGAGTCTGAACCCCTCAACGCTGAACCGCATTAGAGAAAACGATGGGCTTCGAGTCGATGTGCATTCACAGGCCCAACTACCTGTACAGACATCAGCATCTACAGGTTTAGGGTTTCGCGTTTAGAGCTATATGGCTCCACATCAGCAGCAATAAAGAAATGGGTTCCAAATCCTACAGTCATCGCCCAAGCAATCCCCGCAGCCCTCAACCATGCCCTTCACAGAGCCCACACCAGATCTTCCTGCACAACACCTATAGTCTCCATTGCAGTTCCTTGTTCTGGTCTAACCAATGGCATATAACTTTAGGATCCTAAAAGCTATCCCAAAAAAGGAACTACTATGGAGACTGTGGGCAACCCCTAGGACACTGCAAGGAACCTGGGCCCCCGCAAGACGACGCATAGGTGCGATCGTCAGACAGGGCAAACGCCTGTTTCTGCTCGCGGCTTGGGGGCTAAAGGCTGGGTATCCATAGGCTCCGTAGTAGTTCCGTTTTGGGATTCTAAAAAATGAACACCAAAAGGAAAAACTCTGGTTACTAAGGAGCCTCTGGGTAAAGGCTGGGTAATCTTAAACCATCCTAAACCCTACAAGTTCCACGAGCATGGCGCCTGAGTTCCTCAGGGCTTCGGCTGTGGCTCAGGGGTTTGGGGTTTGGGGTTTAGGGTTTAGGGTTTGGGGTTTAGGGATTCAAGAATTCGTGGAGCAGCAGCTTTTTTGCTCCCCCATTGAGCTGGCATTGCTGACGGCGCCTGAGGCGCGGAGACCCCGTAAGCTATAAGCATTACACGTTTTATCTTGGGACGCTTACATGAAATCAAAGCTCTAGAAACCTCAAGCTTTGGTTCCTATGCCCCTATACTTAACTGGAGAGCACACATCCTAGAGGGGAAAAAACGACATGCCACTGTCGGCGCTGTGGAGACTAGGCGCCGAGAGTCAGCTGAACCACGGGAGATCCGGGTACTCTTGAAGATCAAAAGTGCTGATCACCGTTTAATAGCAAGAATTACATTAACAGCAGTAGTAACAGTAATAGTCATAGTAATCGTGCGGTAATAATACTGATGGTAAGGCTCCATGTGCCGATATAGTACATACTTAGGGGTTGAAAGGCACCTTTTTGCGCACCCCTTCAAGCTTAAGCATCTACGGCACGGGTACATAGAGCCTTCAGGGTGCTAGTAAGAGCGCCGATAGCCTAAACCCTAAACCTAAACCCGATACCCCTTCTTTATTTTTTAAATGGGGCCCAATGAGCCTTCACAATAAACTCAAATCCGCTATAAAAACCCATGGAAACAAAAGTTGAAACTTTCAGAACCGACTACCTTATAAGAACCCCACAAGTTTAAGAGTTGACTTCTTTACAGCCAATAAGTATAAACAAAAACAAACTACACCTAGACATTCCCGAAGCCAAGCAGAGGTGGCATCGCCACATTTCGGCAAGGTTACCTGGACCTCCCTTCCAACTCCTTCTGGTAAAGGAAACTGGGTGCTTCTTCTGATGACTTGTTGACCCAAAGTATATACTTTTGGGGGCCCAGATACCTAGTAAGTACCTACTATAATGGTACTTGGACCCTTTGGGTGAGGAAGGTTATATATTGTCAAGACTTTGATAAGCCTACGTACCATTAATCCTGCATAGACACCCATCTACCCTCTGCAAGAAGCAGTAACTACTATACTGAACTTAGAACCCTAGCAAAAAACATAATTTTAGCTGCTTCTTAGGGGTTATAATAACAAAAAATGAAAAATAATTTGTAAGTACCCCTATATAAGAGTAGAGCATCATCCTGCAGACTTTGAAGCCCAAGTAGAGCCTTCAATTCCTCGGAAACTCCTCATACGGTAATCAAAACCCTAACCATCATAAACTCCCATAGCCTACATGCCCAACTCTACAGTCTCACCATCAAAACTTCAAAACCCTAACCATCATAAACTCCCATAGCCTAAATGCTGAAAACTCTACAGTCTCAAACTTCAGACCCTTTGAAAAAGATAGCTCCCAGTGTCCTCTCCTCCCTGAGAGGCCGAGAGTCTAAAGCCAAGCTTGCCCTGGCTAGCGCTTAGTGCTCTTTCGGGTGTGTAGGAGTTTAGAACTGTAGGGTTTAGGGTTCAGGATGTTTAGGGTTTTGGAGTTTAGATGTAGGGTTCAGGGCTTTGGAATCTAGAGCTACAGGTTTAGGACTTTGGGGTTTACGTCGTAGGGTTTAGGTGCTTGGTGCCCCTTGTTTGTCTGTTCATCCCACACGGAGCACTAAGGGCTGGTGTCGGCCTGCTCTCAGCGACCACGACGTGACTACGATGCTGCACGCCTTCAGCGAAAAGCCCCCTTCAACAAAAAACAGGGCGGGTGGAATGCTTCCGAACTCCCCTAGCTTACGCTCGTCGCTTGGCAACGAGCACATCCCCAAAGGGTCCAAGTATCATTATGGTATATACTTATAGGGTATTTTGGGGGTCTATGTATGTACCATATCAAAAGTGTCCAAGTAATGGTACAGCATATACTCTGGGGGCCCAAATACGTCCTAAGTACCGACTATAGTGGTACTTGGACCCTTTGGGATCACAATACTTGGACCCTTTGGGATCGAAGATGCACCCTAAATAGTAGGATCCCTAATATAGTACTCCAAATAGTAGGATCCTTAATATAAGGACCCCATAGTAAGGTACCCCCCTTTGGAGTCTCTGGGTCGGCGCTGCCGAAGACGGCCTCCTCACTCGCTTCAGGCCCGGATGAACTCCTGCACATGGGTGGTTGTCGAAACTATGGTCCTTTTGGGGGTCCTTATTATAATACGGCACCTAATATTGAGGGTACCCAAAAAGGGACCCCAATTGTGACAACTACCCACATCGTGGATCATTTCGGATTCATTGAGAGCCGCATATTGCACTATGCAGACAGAGACCGACAGCTATCCGTCGATCCATACATGTATGCATACATACGGTTGACAATTTCGAAGACTTCGCGACGACCGCAAGTTTGGACAGTCACGGATGCGTGGCCAAAGGCTTCAGGGTGCGGTGTGTGCGGGATCTTTGGCTCAAACTTGTTTCAGGCTTGTACGCTTCTAACGGTCCTTGCTACCACCATGATTGGTCTTATGACGAGCAGGAATCTTGCAGGTGCCAGGGCGCTTTGAACTAGTTTGCTGGGTGTGCGCTCGAAGGAAATCTGCTCTGTCGATGCTGTTCTTGCGATCTGCAGCCATCGGGGTACAGTTGCGTGCATGGAATTTCAATTGACAGCCCTGAATCCACAATCCCCTTGCACAGCCTACGACTGCCCGACGAAGACGCCGTCTACCCTTAACCCTCAATACCAAAACCTTCAACAACAATCCGAATACCTATTTTATGAAGCCAAAACGAGCCCCAAGCCCCTAACCCTGACAAGCCCATAACCCACAAACCCTACAGGGTAAAAAATTTTTTACCCTGTCAGCGTCATCTGATGTGCGCGCGTCCTGCTCATTAGTTTGACGGATGTGTGCACAAATCTTCGCAGCATTTACGGCTGTCAAGCCCTGACGAGTCCCCTAGGGGACGAAAGCTTGGCACCTGCCAGACAGCTGTTAAAAAAGCTGTGAGGGGCCTCGGCTTGAGCGACCTGTTAAGAAGTAGTGCTTTGCAGACTTTAGGCGTTCGCCATGGAGATTCCTGGATTAGGGGCTACGCCTGCAAGTGCTTTGGGTGCACTTGTTGGTGGTGAGCCTGCAAATTCTGGGTTTCCAGCCTTCACTCACAACGACAGGGGTTCACCCAGAACTCCAGCTCCTTCTCGTTTGCCGGGTTTTACAGCAGCTGGGCGGCCACGTGCTCCAAGTCCAAGTGCTGAAATGAGTGGGGTAGAATTGCTGTTGTTTCAGCAGAATCAACTGCTCATGAGCCAATTGAAAGAGTTGCAAGTGCAGGTGAAGTCATCGCAATCCCGTGCAGAGGCTATCGCCACCAATGAAGCCTTGCAAGCAAAGATGTTCCACGAACCTAGGGATTTGCTGGAAGGAATCGATCCTGGCTTGCATCATGTGTTTGATGAGTTTGCCAAAGAAGTCAAGCAGCTTCTCAGTGCTTGGGAGACGCAAACCAAGTTGATGGAGAAGTACAAAAGGCTAGATGAAGAAGGTGCTATGCACTCACACTTCAAAGCAGAAGCTGATTTCAAATGGCAGTTCACCAAATTGTATTTGGCCAAGGCTGTGCCGACTGCAGCTGATGATATGAGTGATGGACAGTTTTCAGTGGTTGATTCTTGGGCAGCCATGAGGGCTAGACACGCAAAAGAGTGCTTCCAGTTCGTCATGCAACATCAAGAGCAATGCGTCAAACTATATGATGAGTTAGTTGCAAGCTCAGCTCTGCAACAACTGCTTGCAGACAGGCTGGATGCGTGGTTTGCCCAACACAATTACGCTGATGAGGATATCCGTCATGCTTTGAAGCATCGTGCGGCACAGTATGTTGAGAGTTTGCTGCGCGTGGAAAGGCCAAGAGTGCAATCAAGAATGGTCAAAGACAGAGAGCAGCAACAAAAGCGCGAGCAAGCTCTTTTAGAAGCTAGAAGCAAATGGGAAGAAATGGATGTGAAGGATGTCTTGTCTCCAGCGTTGTTTGAGCTCAAACAACTGGATGCAAGGCAGAAAAGGCCTACCAAAATCAAGGATGACAGTGCCTTAGCGTTTCTTGTAAAGGACAATGCCGAGCTTTGCCAGAAACACAAGTTGAAGATCGTTCCGGCGTCGAGCTCTAGCCATTCCCAGGGGACACCACACAAGCGGGAGTCCACTCCGAAAGGGCGTGCAAGGAAGCCGAGATCGCCATCCCCAGCGCCAAGTACACCGCGTTCCATTCTGAAATCACCTGCTAGGTCTCCGAGATCGCCAAGTCGCAACCGGAGTACATCGAGCAAGAGGGTCAGATTTGAACAGAAAGGGCAGCCTGGAAAAGGGAAAGGGAAAGGCAAGAGCGCGAGCAAAGGGAAGGGCAAAGGCAATGGCAAAAGCAAATCAAGAGGAAAATAACTCGTAGAAGCAGGGGCCGTTCCTTTTGGCTTGACGATGACAGGTGCAGCATTGATTTCTACAGATTCTGTGTCGCTCAATCGCTGCGTACAGGATTCTATGCATTGCTTCACAGGCAAGCCTATAAGGGTGTTCACAACCTGGTCCCTGCGGAGATTTGCACCGTTCCGAAGTTTGTCCTTTTGCATGTAGCCAAGGGTGGCAAGTTCATCCCCAGTTGCAAGCCAACTTCTGTGTCAAAGATTGTGGAAGGTTTGGACCAATTGAGGAGGCAGCTTCTGCTGAGAAAGTATTTTCGATCCGATACAAAAGCAGTTTCCAGATGTCGCGTGAAGAGTGCCTGGCAACCGCCAAGTGATCCTCACGTTGATGCCTATATCAGACTGGCCTTGGGGGAGTTGGTTCAGTTTGAACCCAAGCCTTCCAAATCAAACCAAACGTGGATTGACATGAAAGCACAGATTTGGCTGCGACGCCACGCGGAATTCATTTGTATTGTGGATTGTGACAAAGGGCTAGGTGATGCCTTAGTTTTGAGGTCTTGGATTGTCGAGCAGATCAACAAGCAACTTTCCAAAGGCTATGTACAGATCACAGAGGCTAATTTTCTATGTCGGATGGGCGAGCTCAAGCATTGCGCCGATGCTCTGGTGCAACATTTCGCTACCTCAGGAGTTCTTTCGAAAGCTGAGGTGCTCTTCCTCCGCAGCAGTTTTGATCGGGCAACTGCTGGGACATTTCGCATCCTAGTCAAAGTACACAAAGACCCGATTGGTTCCAGACCTATTTGCAACATGCGTCAGTGCTGGTTTCAGCCGTTGTCTGCTTTCTTGGTTGAAAAGTTGGCGCCTTTAGTTTCGCCTCTGGATACGGTTATTGTTTCTTCAGACCAACTTCTGCAGCAGCTGAATTCGACGGAGTGCCTTCCAAGTATGGTGTTAGTGACGTTGGATGTGGTGAACCTTTATCCTTCAATCAACCGCCTACACATGTTGTCATTGGTTGCAAGGTTCCTGAGACAGCGCATTAAGCCACAGAGCTTATGCGAGTTCATGATTCGAGCGCTGGAGCTCGTCCTTGATGCATGTGTTGTATCGTTCGGAGGATGTTTCTACCAGTCCAATGATGGGATTCCGACGGGTTTATCGGTTGCCAGCATCCTTGCAAACATCTATTTGTGGCATCTCGACAAGTTTTTAGTGCAGCAGGGCGGGGAGCAAATGCAAATGATACGACGTTTCATTGATGATCTGCTTCTGCTTTGGTCTGGAGATGTGAGCGAACTGGTTTCATTGGCAAATTCCTGGCATGAGTCTCTGAGCTTTGAGCTCTCAGGCGTTGGTGATGTTCATTTCTTGGATGTCGCACTCAGCATCATGCCTGACAGAAGGATCCATTGGGAGTTGTACCACAAGGAGCAGAATCTTTACCTTTATGTTCCTGCGCAGAGCAACCATCCCAGCAGTACTTTCAAGAGTTTGCAGATTGGTGGAGCTCTACGATGTCAAAAAAGGAATCGGTTGAGTTCCGATGCTGCGGCAAGCCTAAAGTTTTTCAAGCGTCGCTTGAAGGATCGAGGCTTTGACATGAAGAAGTTCAATGACACCATCACAAAGTTTCGGAACCGTTCACGGAAACGTGACAATGTTGTCAGGAAAGTCCATCTCAAAGTGCATTACAACAGAGATGTCTCAGCATTTTGGATTGCGAGCAAACTGAGAAAATTCTCAGCCTTGCTGAGGCATAGTGTTCCAGATGTACAGGTTGGCACTTGTTGGACTGTTGGTCGGAACCTTTTCAGACGTAGATACCAGGAAACCTGGAAGTTTTTCAGTCAAAGGCGTGGTTGAGGGAGGGACTGTAAATTTTTTACCCTGTCAGCGTCATCTGATGTGCGCGCGTCCTGCTCATTAGTTTGACGGATGTGTGCACAAATCTTCGCAGCATTTACGGCTGTCAAGCCCTGACGAGTCCCCTAGGGGACGAAAGCTTGGCACCTGCCAGACAGCTGTTAAAAAAGCTGTGAGGGGCCTCGGCTTGAGCGACCTGTTAAGAAGTAGTCCTTAACCCTCAATACCAAAACCTTCAACAACAATCCGAATACCTATTTTATGAAGCCAAAACGAGCCGCAAGCCCCTAACCCTGACAAGCCCATAACCCACAAACCCTACGAGCGCAAAGGCTTGCTGAAGCTGGCCTTAAAGTGCTTCAAGCTGTCCTGAATCTCGATGTTCTGATGACACTGACCAAGCCCCAACCACACACACACACACACAGATATACATATATATATATATATATATATATATATATATGTATATGTATATACACATCACACACACAGAGAGACTCGATATCCATATATATATATATATATATATATATATATACATATACACACACACACCCTGACCCTTAACCCTAAACCCTAAAGCCCCAACTCCTAACCCATAAACCCTAAACCCTTAACCCTAAAGCACCTGCTGACCAGGCCCAGCCACTTCAGGAGGTCCGGCGTTTGCGCTTCGTTTGATTCCAGGGGCCCCGAAGCACTTGGAGCGCGATGTCCGAGCGTAGGTTGTGGGCCTCGGTGCCCACCCGCCCCTCCACACAGCCAGGGGTGATAGGGTTGATGATACAAATGCTGCATTACCCATGATAAGATATATATTCCGTAATTTCCCGTAGTTTAGAGTCATTTAAGTTAAGGTAATGCAGGATTCTTATCATCAACTGTAGGGGTGTCTGGGTTTGGGGTTTGGAGGTGCGCGGCCTTGAGGTTTAGGTTTTGGTTTTGGGGCTTGGGGGTTGTTGGTGCAGGGGTATTTGCTTGAGATTATATCGTAAACCCCATAAAGTTGGAAACCGGATGAAGGTCCAACCAGTGCCGGGATTCCCTTTACATCTATCTCAAGGATTGAGGCTATTGGGTTTCCAACTTTTGGGCTTCTACTGTATGCTTCCCCTTAGATAAGCCCTAAACCCTAAACCCCTAAACCCTAAAACCCTAAACCCTAAGTGGCCTGTTGGCTTCTGGGGTTGAAGCTCCAGGGGGCTCGGTGAAAAAGTTAAACAAAAAAGCATCAAGGTTAAGTTGATTACAGGGGCCTTCAAACCTCGGGGGTGTGGAATATAGCATACTACAGTCATACTTATAACTAAGGAGCCCTAAAGAATGGCACATGATAATTGCTCACGGTTCTATAAACCGTAAACCCTGAAGTGTTAGACACCGCTTCGTGCTCTTGGGGCCCGGCATCACTCAGCGGTGCAGAAAGCGCGGCGTCAGCGATGTTACCCTTTGCTTCCTCCACAGCTTATAAGGGTTAATGGGTTTATGGTTAAGGGCGCAGCGACCCCCACATCCCTTCAATAAGGGTCTCCTATCGAGGATGATTGTTATTGGGGGTCTTGTGCACAATATTCCGAAATGATGGTACAAGCAATATATGTAAGCGGGCATTGCTACGATCAATATTTTTCTTAAATATTCGGCCCCCCTGTACTACATGTCATGGCTTGAAGAGTAACTCTTTCTGTCAGCACGGAGCCGGCATCGGGGCTCAAGCGTCCCCGGTAAGTCTGGTTGGGGGTGTGCTTTAAGAGTGCACTGGGCCAGAATCCGAAAGCCATTCCTACTGCTCTACTACAGAGCAGCGTGACAGCCCTAAAAAGTGGATGGAGATGATTTTGGACGTAGGAAAGAAGGAGTTGAGCAGGAAGTTTGATTCTGTCGGCCTGCCTGTAGTGTACATGTGAGCCTAGATTTCCCCTAAAAGCCCTAAACCCACAAAGGCGGTGTTTAGGAAGGCGTTCGCTCGCTCTTCAAGCCTTGGATTTAAGGTTCAGGGTTCAAAGCTTTGTGCGCGGGATACTTCTCCATCAAATCCTAAACTGCAAAACCTCTGCATAAATTCGTTCCTTGATGGATAGAACAAGGTTTTGGGGTAGACTATGCTATATAGACACAGGTTGTGTAAGAAACCAAACCCTCCTTTTGGGGAGGAAGTCTGCTCCAACAATATGTCCTCGCAAGAACCCCAAGAATTCAAGTACCCAATATATCATAGACTCTCCGAAATCCTAACCTACATAACTACTACCCTAAAACTGAGTTTCTGATTATTAAGGCCCATATAATAGAACCCTTAGAGTAGCCTTTTTAAAGGAACCTTCTAGAACCCTTTAAACGAAGCCAGTACCTGATTATTGGGTCCTTTGGACCCTTGGGGGTAAACTCGAACTCTGACGAGCATCCCACCCTCCCATGCTTTCAACCTTAGAAGGGGCCCCCACCCTGTAATAGTGGTATAATAAGAATATAATAGGGCCCTAATACAATCCTTATAGTCACTATTACAGGGTGGGGGCCCCTTCTAACTTAAACCCTAAACTTTTCCCCAAAGCCTATGCTTGGAGGGTCGGGGGACTTAGCAAGTAGAAGATAAGCAGAGTTATAAGTACCCGAAAAGGGACCCTAATTGGGGTTATGGTACTTATAACTCTAAAATAACTACTTAGTAAGTCCCCCGACCCTCCAAGTATGCCCTAGACCCCCGGCGAATGCTGGACAACACCCGACAACCCAAAACACACTTTATGCCCTCACGAACTCAAAAAGATCCCAAGAGCCAAACATCCCGTGCTTAAGTAATGGTCCATATATCATGATATCAAGACCCCTAGTAATTAAAGTTTGATGGGAGGAAAAAAAGGGGTTTAAGATTCTTGGGGTAGGGATTCCTTAATATGAACCCTATTATGGGAGCCCTAACCCCAGCTAAACCCCCATAGGCTAAAACCCCTTTTGGCCTCCTATGAAAGTTTCAAGGTAGATTGCCAAATTAAAGCTACTGAGCTCTCTGGGACAACAGCCGGCCTGGAGAGCAAGAATTCGTTCCTCCACGGTATCTTGGGCCACTAAGCCTCTGATCAGAAGTTGTCCGGATTCCATTCTCAACGGGGAAAAGGAGGGACCCTTAATGGGGACCCTTACCCTATAATGGGCTATATAATGGGTATATAGTAGCTATATTAAGGGTATATACCTTGGGGTCCTTATTAAGGGTCCCTCCTTTCACCCTTGGACATTCTAACGGTTCCCTAAACCCTTAACCCCAAACCCCGGCTTTTCGGGCTTGAAGTTAAAGTCCGAGGCACATGAGGGCTTTCGTCAGTTCTCAAGTACCCAAGACTCCAGGTACCTATTTAGCCTACAACAGTATAAACCTAGGCCGTGAATGTACTTATATAACTCAGACCCTTTCAGGCTTTAAGGCCGAAGTATACACTATGTGAGAGCTTCCGAAAATTGGGGTTACCTCATTTTGGGGTCCTTATAATCAGGATCATACCTTTTCAGGGTACTATATTAGGGTCCCCCATTTTGGGAAACTCTCATATGGGTCCCATAGAGCCTTAGGGGCATGCAAGCCTTGGATTGGAGATACCGATGTGCAGCCTACCAGTCTGATCAGTCTGGAGGCTTGCCCGAGGGTGGCCCGATTACCCTGAGGGTTGGTGAAAACCCAGACGCAAAGGGTCCTAGGTACTGTTATGGGGAATACTTCCCCAAATCATACTTAGTAATCCCTAATATAGAAACCCCACATTCTATTATAGAGGTACTTCGGACCCTTTGGGAGAGTAGTTTAAGGTCTTAGGGCTTAGGGGTTTAAGGGGTTTAGGGTTGCGGGGTTTGGGACTTAGGGGTTCAAGTGTTTCAGACTTTCGGTTTAGGTAGCATGCAGGCTGATGGGAGGCCAAAGGGGGGGTTTAAGATTCGGGGGGTAGGGATTCCTCAATATGAACCCTATTATGGGAGCCCTAATCCCTACTAAACCCCCATAGGCTAAAACCCCTTTTGGCCTCCCATGAGAAGCTAGCCCAAGGGTCCAAGTACCCAATAATCATATACTCTCCAAACATCCTAACCTACATAGCTACTATCCTAAAAACCAAGTACCTGATTACTGGGTCCTTTGGACCTCTGGGGGGTAGCATGCAGGCCAAAGTGAAGCCAAGAAGCGGAAGACTTCCACCTTATTCTTCTGTCCCATGCGGTGGACGCGATCGATGGCCTGCTCTTCGATGGACTTATTCCTGGGCTGCTCTCGGAAACCTAAAGCAGAGCCACGGTTTAGGGTTTAGGGTTTTGGGTTTAGGGTGAGGGCATTGTTGTGTGTGTGTGTGTGTGTGTGTTTTCAACAAGGAACTTGAGGGAAGTGTAGTTACATTGAGTATCTTGTACTCAAGAGACACATACAGAAATCCCCCCAAAGGTTACTTGTAGTCTCGTTGTAGCTCCTTTTCGGGGTTACCTTATGGGATCCTAAGACAAAGATCAAAATTTGTTAAACGAAAAAGGGAACTACAACGGAGACTAGAGGTAACGGTAAACCCAATGACCAATCGACGGTCCGAGGATCCACCATGGGTCCAACAGGACGACCGTGTCACCCCGGCTCAAGGTGACGCCGACGCCGGCGCAGCGTGTGGAACAAAGGATGACGCGGACGGACTCCTCGGCTGATTCAAAACTCTGAAGCCCAAAACCTAAACCCCCAAGCAGTCCTGTTGGATTCAGGGCTCGGAAATGCTCAAACCCCAACCTCAGGATTTAGCATCTAATTACCGCTCATGCCGTAAGCCCGCTACAGTATCTGCTCACATGCTGCAGACAGATGCTGAACGCGTAAACAGTAAATCCCAAGCACAAAGGCTCGAAATGTTAAATCTCAAGAAACCCACAACTCTCTACTTAAAGCCCCAAACTCTCAAACCCTAAAACCTGAGTCCTGAAATTCCAAACCCTTGAACCGCAAAACCCTGTCTCACAACTCTAAGACA